TTACAATTCACACCCAATGTCAAATCATCGAAATTATAAAAAAGTCTTTCAAGTAAAAAAAATAAACCTTTCTTCTTTTCATTATTCACACGAATACGTCCTATTAGGAATTAGGATAATATAGCGTTATTATTCATAACTGTTGAACTGAAATGTTAAAATAATAATAAAATATTAATTATACTTAATAAGTTACTTAAAAATTATTATCGTAAGACTTCACGAAATAAGTCTACGTGCATACAAGCAAAATCATAAATAGTTTAAATTACATATTCGTTGTTTGATTTGTGCTGCCATCTGTTCACATTTCTAGGTACTATTAAAACTTTCGCCGGTATAGTAGTACACAAATTTTTCAAGAGATGGCGCTTCCAACAAAATTACGTTTTGACGACATACATTTTAGAATAGTTATAGTAGTTACCGTTAATGTTAAAAGAGGTCGCTTTTATAATTTTTATAAATATTATTAATCAAATTTATTTCATCATTACTTTAATGTAAAAATTATTAAATCCCGATTAATTAGTCTAAATATTTCCATGGCTGATCAAATTGTGTAAAGTTGTATAAGTTAGTTAAGCACAGACTACAGTTAAGACTTTATATGCCTACTGTCATCCTAACCTCAAAATTGTATGCTCTTAACTTTAAGCAATATTATGTTTTTATGTAAAAATAAAGCAATTGGATTAATAATTATTATAATACATTGACTGATGCGTCGGTAAGTGAAGTAACAAAAAAGATTTATCTGTTTTCAAATGCAGTACTTAGACTTATTTTAGGATGTAAAAAAACGAAACGACGAACGATGATTATTTATTATTAAATTTTTTATTCTTCAGTTATTATGAGAGGTGATATTTTTTTAGGTTGGGTTTAATGAACTCGATATTTAACAATACATATTAGTATTTGTGTTCATTGTTTTTACTGCAAAAAATACCATTGTTTGAATTAAAACGATTGTGCAAACTATTTTGTCAGTCCCGTTTCAGGCCTTACTCGTTTCTCACAATTTATTATCTAGATTTGAACATAAAAAAGTAATGTTATGCTTTCATGCTATTATAAATTTTTTAAGTTAAGTTAGTTTGACTAAAAGGAAGGAGTACTCTACTTTTAACCTAAAGAGGGGTGTTACACGTAAATCATTTATAAGAGTTATTGTTCGTCCGTGGCATCGTAGCTCCTAAACGAGTGGATTGATTATGATGCGGTTTTTTAGCTAGAACGCTCAAGATGGTTTTAGAATTAATTTCCAGGCGGTATTTTTACCGTTTTACCTTCGAACATAATGATGATGGAGCTCCAAGGTTGTCGAGGGTTACTTATATAACTATATAGGTATACTTATACTGTTGGTTGTGGATTCACTCTCACCAACTTACCTTGGCCAGAAGCAAAAATAGGTCGTTGTCATGACAACCAGACGTTACAACAGAAACAGAACTTATAAGAATCTTACGATTTCTCTTACATAAAAAGTCCTATGTAATATTGGGCTCTTATTGTTTTAGTTATATAATTATTTAAACTTATTCTTATATCTATGGATTTTAACAACGGTTTTCGATATGTAATTGCATATTTCTTTGGTTTAAGAACGTAACTCTTTACGTCCGTAAACCTTAGAATGTATAACTCTATAATCATAAACGTACAATTAATCTTTAAAGTACATTTTTATTTATTTACATAACATAAATAATTAATATACAAAAAAACATATAAGCTTGGGATACACATATGTCCAGACTTAAAAGGTGACGCCACTGATATTTTTAGGAATTAAAAAAAATCAACAATGACAGATATATATATAAAAAAAAAAACTGTAGCCGCTAGAATGTATGATGTTATTAATATTCAAAATTCGAATGTCTACACTTGTTACGCAGGGTGACTCAGGGGAGTCAGGTGGAACCGACATGTGTTCTTTCGGTTTAAGGTATCCCCTTATGGTTAACAAATATGAATGTTTGAAACATTTGTACCTTTTACTATCTAGACTGATATAACGGATATATTTTTTGAACTGGTTTAATGGGCTATTCAACCGCTTTCGTCCGTTCGTAATACACTTAGCTTCGTGTTAGGCCCTCGGGCTGATCCCGGAGAAACCATCGTTAGGTGTATATGAATGAAACAGAGAAAAATGGAATCGAATATTGTCTAATATATATTTTTTATTATAAATGTCTGATCTCTGATTTAAACAGTATTTAGCGACTATGATCGCTAAAATAACTCATCCACAAAAAGACAAAATTATGTATCGCTCAAACAAAAACAAACCTTTACAATATTAAGTTGATAATAATAGTCCAGGCGCTATAACCCTTTATGAATTTGAACCCAATTCAACAAAAAAGTTACTGAAGGTAATAATAATAAATTTCCTATATTTTTTTAAGCGCGATTTTTGCGTCTTTCACGAAAGATCTGAAAGTCGTAAATAGTTCACAAAAACCAGTTATTAATTTAAGTACTGACGTCAATTCATAATTATACAAACTAGAATAATTTTCTCGTAAAACAACAACGGATATTTTATTCAGACTTGAAATTTTACTATTTGCATATTACATAGTATCTGTGCATAGACGTGTTTCTTTTACTTTCACAGAGCATATATATATAAGAGGTTCAGTTCACCTATGGACACACGTTGCCGGACAGGTCGTAAATGCGTTAACAGCCTTTTAAGAAAACGCTCTTTTCTTAAAGGACCCTAAGTCGAATAGGTAATTTAAGTATTTCCCACTTCAGTTCCGGACCAATTCAAATAGTTCAGTTCTAAACAATTGTGGTCCGCTAAAAGTGCCTTGGGGAAAGATGGATGTCGAGGTGATAGGGGTAGAATTTCATATTTATAAAAATATGAAAAGATCAGATATTTATAAAAATAATCGGATTTTAATATACGGCTATGCAGATTCATAATGAATATTAATGTATATCCGTTAAATTTTTACAAAAACCTTTAATGTTTTTATGGTGCATAAATTATAAAGGTTCTTGCAGTTGGATTAATGAATGTTTCCGATCAATGACCGCGGGTGAGTTTTCATTGTAAAAAACGACAAATACCTGACAATATTTATTACTTGTCAGTAACTAAACAAATTTTAATAACACTCGGATCATCATCATTTATAAATTTGTAGACAAACATAAGAATACACACAGGAATCTTACAGGACCAAGTAGATTGCATACATTCTGGTCAAATTGATAATTACCTTATCTCGAAGTACTAGAGCAATTTTCAAAGTTTACTGTATAAAAAATCTGGCTAAAGAAAAGACAGGCTGGATTCGAACGCATGACTTCAGGGAGCCGAGGGCCTAGGCTGAAACTTTCAATAAAAACTTTATAATTTTCAGACTACAGCCAACATAACGACCTCCAGTATTTGCCCGGCCTTGCCCTGTTCAAACTTAAAAACAACTAAGGAGGACGGTATCAATTCAACCTATATTTTTATTGATAATATTTGTTGGTGGTTGGGCAGCTGGCGCGTTGCTTGCGACCTATAGCTGTTATGTGTGCTGTCTATCTTAATATATATAAATTACGTGTCACGTTGAATTCAATTTATACCCGCAATGTTATTTTATTGCAAATTATTTGTTTATTATTTGATAGTCACAATTCTAACAGATGGCGCTGTGTTGAAAGTACCAACGTTTCACATAAGCTACAATTTACTGGCATAACCACCAAAAAAGCATGGTGGTGCCCATGACTGGTGTTCTCCTACCGTTTCCCTTGAAAAGTTTGCTACTATGTAATATAACAAAAACCTTAGCCACAGCAACGCTTGGCCGGTCTCCTAGTATGTTTATGAAAAATAAATTTCTTCATACTGTGATGTTACAAATAAAATAATGCATTCGATTAAATGATTTTACCTCAAAATATATTATTAACTAAATTTGAGCCTTTTCTCATATTATGCTTTATCTTGAATCTTATCTATGCGCACTTAGGTTTCGTAAATTTAAGAGTTGGGATTAAGTCTGATAAGATTTCAAAGACACCTTTGCTGGAATTTAATCAGTATTCTTTATTTAAATACTAAATCCAAAACGCACTCTTTTGTCTATTGTATTTAAGTGACGAAAAGATACAGATGAGGTCTTTAGCTAAAACGGTGCGTTTAGACTGATTTATTTTTAAACAATAACATAGTTATTAGGTTGTTCTTGTTTAGGGTTTTATATCTAGTACACCACCAATGGCTAGCAGTCGGTCCATTTTCACGCCTATTAGGCGTTCCAGCTTCCCATATCAAAATTATTATTGTTTCGCCGATAATTGAAAGTTAAACAGCATGTTCATAAGCCAGTAAGTCAGGCAGTGACTATTTTTGAACAGTCAAATGTTCGACATAAAGAAACGGTATATTTTCAGTTAATAATCAAGGATGTTTATTGACTCTTAGGAAATACCTAGTAAGAAATAGTGCTTTGTAATTTCCCCATAGTTAATGCGTCTCAAGCAAAGCAGCTATGCCAACTCATGATATTATTAAGTTACATAAGATAATATGTATTATGTATTGTACGAGTACATTTCTGGATTAATACATTGAACATAACATTCTTTATCAATCGTTTATTGGTATATGCCCCAAATGAAACAATATATATTTTTATTATTTATTTTTATAGTAATTTCGTCTACAAACAGGTGAATGACAGTTACAGTATACATGGAATGTGTAAGTACCAAGTGACCGTAACGATGTGACAAGAATACTTACAATAATTCATTTGAGATGTTACTACATTCAAACACGTTAAATAGAATATTATTATCGCGGTAATATGATATAAAATAAAATAATATAGATTCTCCAATGTATTGACTTAATTCTATAACTGTATATACAACAATTTTCTGGAAAACAATTTACTTTTATTTACACAAATATCTATTCACACTATCTTTCTAGCTTACCGGTGCATTATGCGGCCTCACATAAATTAAACCATTATAGTATTGCCAATTACGCTATCTTTATCAAGCAGCTCAGAATAACCCGATTCGTCGCTGCAAGCGCTGTCGTTGTCACCGACAGTTTTAAAAACATCAGTCTCGGTGCTCGAGTGCAAACTCTCCACGTCAGTTAAATTATCCAGTAGGGATTCAAATTTACCATCGAGATTACCGTTAGGAGGCGGGTACGTCGATCGTCGTCGAAAACCATTATTTTCACCAATCGGTATGTGGTTTACCTCATCAGAGGCTAGACTTAATTCATTCCCATCGTCCACTCCACGTATTGAGTTAGAGTAGCTTCTGCTACTCTTTCGCGTCGACTCATAAATTTCCCTGCAAAAAGCCGAAGCTCTCTCCTCGTCACTATCATCCTTATGATCTTCTTGGAATTGCGGGAGAGAGATGGGCTCAGCATCAGATGAAGTGACGGTGCTAGCTGTCTCACATCCCGAAGAAACTGACCCATCGTCGCTATCCGTGACGAGGTAGTTACTTTGTGACAATAACTCTTTTCTTTCGCTTGTCGTAGTCATTTCTCTCATTTCTACAATCGCAGCTAATTTATCGCTATCATTTCCATCCTTTTCTTCCATTTCAGTTTTAAGTTTGCTTTCATGCACAAGTAAAGTTATTACATCTTCAGTAGCGTCATTAGATCCTTCAGATTCAGACCGAATCCTTTTTATAACATTTTCCGGACACGACATTTTTCTAGGCGATTTAATATCAGATCGCCGCCTGTCTAATGTTTGTGTATCATAAAAGTTAGATACATCCTTTTTACTACTTATTTCAGCTTCCTCTTCATCTTCTTCGGAACAGAGTTCTTCGATAGCACCGAGTTTAGGAGCAGATTTAGATCTTTCCAAGGGCGGCCTATAGTTAAGTGCGCCAACACTGAGTAGTATTTTTCTGCGAGGCATGCTGGGATTATCGTAGACGCTGTTAGCAAGACTTAGTCTAGCGTTTTGTTTAGAAATCCGATCTTTCTTAAATTCGACTAGTGCCTGTTTTAACTTAATTTGTAATTCTTCTGTAATTTTCTTTGAAATGGATTCTTTGGTGCAAAGTACGGCGTGGCATCGTAGTTCGTGTTTAAGTTTTTTACCTTCATGTCGGTAGACCCAACAGAAGAGCTTAGGGTAATGTGGAGGGCTCGTGCAATAGGTAATGCGGTGGGACCAGTACTCAGTGAGGCCGTGTTCTTTGGTGATGCCTTTAAGGCCGGAATTGGTGACGGAGAGTTTCATGACTACGTCCGGCTTTGTAGATTGCTGGTAGTTGCGCCACAGCGTCGCCAGCGGCTTCTCTATGCAACCTTCACCTGAAAAAGAAAGAAAAAAAATTAATTTCTAATCTTTTAATAGGGTCAATAGTAACTTCTAACACTATTGTAATGATAGATATAACATTTATAAAAATGTATTAAATTCCTATAATATTTAATTAAAGGTCAAGGTATAGTTAAATCTGGTCGAATAACAAATTAGATGGTAGTGTTTAGGCACGTATTTAGGGCGATTGACGTGGGTCGTTCCGCTTACGTGAATGTCATGTCGGGTAACTGAATGATATCGATTCAATCTAGTGACTCTCATTGGTAATGTCGAGGTGAGCCAGGCACACTTTTCTGTTTATGGTACTCGTATGACATTGTCTCTTAAATTCTTAGTCAATTACGTTCTCAATAGAGATTTTTGTAGCTCGATTATGCGACGTGCGACAGTATAAATTGGAATACATTTAGAATAAAATCAACGATTTTTTTATTATTCCGCAAAATCTTATTACATTACTTTTGTTTTATATTACAGTTAATTTCAATATAAAAACAATATTAGTTTAAAGCTAAAAATAAAGTAAAGCTACGTATAATGCATGTCAAATTTATCCTTGAAGAGGTCAGAAACCCGTGACCCCTTCCACCCCAAGATTACATTTCACCTCTTCCGGCGAAGCATGAACCGTGAACGGTTGCGTCAACCGAAGATTTATTTTAAACCTTAACTACGTACACTGTTTTCTTATAACTTTAAAAATTACCTGCATTTCTCACGCCAGTAAAACTTACAAAAGAGCGTCAATATCGCATTAACTCAAACATCAATACACCTTCTGGCAATTATCAAAAGTTTTGACAGATTCAATTTCAAGGTATCCTTTCCACCCACAACTCGTAATGTACTTTATTGATAACTATAGTAGACGTATTTGTAGGTATAATTATTATAATTTGATTAAACTATTATGTCGTATTAATTTCTCTATTTCTTCATGGACGATTATCCCGTTTATTGCATTTCGATAAAGCATTATCATAATCATTTCGCAAACCTGCCAGGAATTGTTACTTTTGTCTTAATAGAAACAGAAGTATTTATTTATTATGACGACTCATTGGTCTAGTGGTTAGTACCCCTGACTGCGAATCCATGGGTCCCGGGTTCGATCCCCGGCTGAGACGAACATCGATGTGATGAGCATTTGGTCATTGGTGTTGTGCTTAGGTCTTGGGTGTTTAAATATGTATTTATGTGTCTATCTATCTATAATATGTATGTATATCCGTTGCCTAGTACCCATAACACAAGCTTCACCAGCTTAGCATGGGACTAGGTCAATTGGTGTGAATTGTCAAAAAAAAAAAAAAATATGATTGATCATAAGATTTGCAAAACTATGTGTTGTTAATTAATACGTAGACATTTGATGCTAGCGAGGCGTGCTATATCAAAAATAGGCCGGCCTATCTTCACGTAAATCATCCAGGTTTCGCCTAGACTAAACAAGGAATTTTGTAATTTTTAAACAGCATCCTTAAACCTTAACTTAGGATTTTTACCGGCTTCAAAACACCAAAGAATTACAATTCGGCGCGTATGTTTCATTAACAAAATAATCAGTAGCGTCTTTTAAATTAAACTTTTTTAACGAATATAAACGCGAATTTGCTATAGTATTTACTTTTGACTGTATCAATCGTGGTCACGAGAGAAGTTTTATTTTAATGTGTAGTACTTAAACCAAAGATAATTTTATTTTGTAACTTCTATCAAACGAATCGTGCGTAACAAAAACAACTCTCCAATCGTTATGAAACAATTCGCAGCTGCGTCAATTGGGCTCAATTTAGTTATTTTATTTTGAATTTAGGTACAAATATTATTTCCTGAATTAAAGATAAACATTAATTCTCGTAATAGATATCACTATTAGATTTTCACTCATTTTCAGAAAATATTAACTTGATTTTCAAATATCTGTATTATATTTTTCAAACAAAATGTTTACAATAAAACTGTTACCTATTTAACACGTTGATTTCATTTATATATTTTTGCTATTATCTTGGTGTGTAAATGGATTTCGCCGTCGTAAAAGTATAGGTACAAATCAAAGTTCAAACTACGATTCTAGAAAATGTTTGACATTAAATGTGTCAAATGTTCTAAAACTAATTAGTCAAATTAGCCTAACTGGTTTGAATTTCGAATCACAATTCTGAGTTTAGGAAATAATAGCGGGAAGGCTGAATTGCCCATCGGTCATTGCAATGGACTGCATGTGCCCTTTTTAATTCTGAATAAATAATTATTGTTATAAGGAGGCAAGTAATATTATGCAATCAAAATTAAAGAATTTATACATTTCCGGTCTTTAAAATGGAGAACGCTTCAAAATTTATATTTGGTGATTACGCGCAATGCCTTTGGTAAATTTTAGTTAGTATGGGATGTTATTAAACTACATCCTACAAGAGAACCAATCTCAACAAATACGTTAAATTTTACATATAAAAGAATTGAGACCTAAATGATTGCCAAGTTCTTCAAGAGAGTAAGTAAGTAGGGATCTCCTTATTAACAGGGTTAACTTATTTCTTTTATACAGTCAAATCCAGTCGGGCTACAACTCTATATGGGTTTGGCATCAGATTGCATCTGTTTCTTTGATCATAGACTAGTAGCTGATCAGCCTTATCAGACACATGTCAGGCATTGGATTTTAGACATGGCGGTTTCCAGACAATGTTTTCCTTCACGCAACGAGCGAGTGCTAAATGCGCACATAGACAGAAAGTTCATTGGTGCACAGCCAACTAGTCCAACACTGCTACTTTTATATAACTTCATTTAATTTTTAAAAAAATCAGTGGCGCTACAACCTCTTTAGGTCTGGGCCTCAGATTTCTGAATCTGTTTCATGATCAACTAATAGGCACGTAGGTGATCAACCTCCTGTGCCTGACACACGCCGCCTAAATTTTGGGTCTAAGACATGTCGGTTTCCTCACGATGTTTTCCTTCACCGTTCGTGCGAATGTTAAATGCGCACATAGAAAGTCCATTGCATGGACAGCTGGGGATCGATCCTACGACCTCACGGACGAGAGTCGCTCGCTGAAGCCATTGGGCCAACACTGCACAACTTCATTTAATATCTGTCAAATTTATCTCCTACGGCCTTCCTACCGGAAACGGTCAACGCTCGGTACATGACATAACAGTTACATCATGTAATAACTTATGTAAAGTAACGGTCAGGCTGTCCGATGACTGATGAGTCTTTAAGACGGTTGTGTCTAGCTGTTCCGTAATCTGAGCTGTCCTACTTGTTTTCTTTTCTTATATCTATGTATTTAAAATTATAAAACAAAATTCTATTATAACAAATTGTTAACGCGAAATAAATTGCAAAACGAACCGTTAATTTAAATAATGCAAAGTTGAATGAACAACTATTCCCACGGTAGAAATCGGCTATAACATTTCAAACGGTTAAGAGGTGGTAAAATTTAAAAATTTCAGAAAAAATTGAACAGTATTGCAATATTATATTATAATGATGATATTTTAAAATCACGGAACTTATGACATACAGTACTACACATATCGAATCTAAAATTAGAATATAGAAGCTAACGCACACAGACCCATTCACATACCCACACATTCACACATACTTAATGTCTTACACGACTTTTGTTTGATTAGATGTACTAAGACTACTTTTGCTTTAAAAATTTGCTTTAGACATGCACTAACCACGGAATAATTGTAGGTTATCTAGTTACCCACAACACAGGGGCTCCCTAGCTTGGGGACTAGCGTTAGATCAATTTTGACCATATTTCAGTTATTTATGTTTCATTATTTAAAAAAAAATGCACTTGAATTTATTAGACAAAAAACGAAACTTCTTGAACAAGAGGAAAAAGATATAATTATGAAATGCTTTCACTTCCTAAGGTCGCAGACTTGTTATGTCATATTTAGTTTTTATAAGGGTGTAATTACCTGAGAACGTTTTAAGTTTTAACATTGTAATTGGTTCTTTGTTATGGTCTTGTTTTTATCAAGTTTAGGATTTAATTACTCAATTCTGTTTGGAAAACGTCTCTCAATTTAAACACTAGACTAGCGTACGGTAGGCGCAGTCAGTGTTTCCTTAATTTATTTAATGTACAAGGAAATATGGGAATCGATATTTTTTTCCTGCAGCTATAAGTATCGGGTCCGATATATCCAGTCATCACATTTCCAAAGGCATGTACTGTAATCTGTGTTCGCAATTACAGGGGCCTAAATGAAGTTAAAAATGTAATGAGTAATAAGAAAATCCCCTGAAATATTAGATAGCTTTTATTTGAATACGTAACTAAAATATATATAGGTATTTTAATATAATATGTAGAGCAACAAATATTTTTATTTTATATAGCTCATCTTTGAAACGAAATATATTGAATCCAAATAACTACCTGTATCAAATTTAGGAATGTTGACGTGACTTAGATCTGCTCTTAGCTTTCAATAATATCTCGAATATAAAATTGTTTAAAGTAAAACTGTAGTGTTTTGTTACCGCAAGAAAATACATAAGTGGAATATGAAGAAAATCGCATACAAACTGTTGCATGCAAGCTAACGGCAGAACGAGGACGTTCAGATAAAGATTCTGTAATCAAACGAAACTTATGTTTACGTGCAAAGTATAACGTCGACGAGTAAGTATGCTATCGGGTCGTGATAATTCAAGATTGAGGCAAGGAAATGAGCGGATGGATCGAAATTTGTACAGTCAGCAACTCTTAATCGGCATATATTTTTAACAAAACCAATGTTAAGATACCGCCACCCATACTACTAGACATTACTAACCGCATGCGTTGCCGGCCTTTAAGGAATTGGTTCGAGCTTTTATTGAACTAGCGTTTCTATGAGTTATGGTCGTCGTGAAGATAGTAAGA